TACTTTTCTTACATTCTTGGTGTATAGTTATAGTTACATTTTTAAGTTACAAAATATAGCCATAATTTTATGGGACTATAGTGAAGTATGCTGCATTTCTAAAACAATTCTATTTAAAAAAAAATACTGTGTTTTTCTCCATGGAGGTCCAGGCATGATTGCCTCTTCCATCTTTAACAATCCTCTGAATCTGATTCCTTTTGGAAAAATTAACATCTTAACCAATTCTTAGTTGGAGATATGTATGTATATTTTTCTCTGTATGTTATACATGCACTCATTGTATTTTTTTTTTACATCACTCTGTCTTTCTGTTTATATTTTCCAGTTTTCTCTTGGCATCAATACAGGCTATACACATGTTTAAGCAGATCATGCAGTTCATAAGCAAACCACACCTGTCTTTTCAATTTCTCCACCTATATTCAGCTGCAGCCCATATTCTCACAATATATATATCTTTTTCATTATTTTTCTTAAACACTGGCATTTATAGCATTTGTTTCAATTGCATTCTTCAACAAATCATTGCAATCCCAATAAAAAATTCTACATTAATCATTCTAATTTTCCTTCACTTTAGTTTCATCTCAAATAATCAATTTTATTATGAAAGCCCACCTCATTTTTTTGCAGTAATCATTCTTTTATATGCATTTTGCTTCTTATCCATAGTTTCTTGCACTTTGTCATTCTACTATGTACCCTTTACATATTTCTCGTTCATGTAATTCCACCCACTTAAGTGGCTCTTTTCATTTAATTATTTTTATACTGGCCCAGGGTATTTTTATATATTCATTACATCCTATTTCTACTTGTTCTCTTGAAAATTGAATTAATCTTTCAATACTTTTTTTTGGCATTTTTCATTTTTTTCTCCAAGATTCACTCGACATTCCTAAATAATAATCTATCCCACATTACAAATCTATTGCTGTAATTCACTAATTCTTTCCGTTTTTCATCATAAATCTTTCTTTCTTTCTTTTTTATTTATTTAATTTCTATACCTCCTATCTTACCTAAGTCACTGTGGGTGGTTTACAACAGCACAATAAAAGCAGTGTAAATTCATAAATAAAAGCATTGTTTAAACAGAATTAAAACTTACAAGTAAAATTAAATTGGGTTAAAAATTCAAAAGCGAGGATGTTAAGAAGGCAATGGGAATGTCCTCAGCCATCCCTTGGGCTGTTGCAATATATTTTATACCCCGTGCCAATAATAATAGTGTGTCGCCAAATGGCTCTGTTGAGCTGTTATTCATTTCCTCCTTTTGTCTCATCCATCCTATCCATTTATGTCACATAACGTCATTTTTTTCTCCAAATTGCATACATTCTGAATGTTGCATATTTTTTCTAAAACTTGACTGTGGCTCTTTCATTATCATCACGCAACTATCACATATCTGTAGATATGTTATTTTATATGCATTCATTGCAACATTCTTTTTCTATTTCCGATAATGTTAACACTTGGTTTTTAATTTTCTTACTTTGTCCAATAGACAACAGGAAGTGAGTAACAGCTGTTGTTGTCATCAGTAAAATTGGAGAAGATGGCAAGATAGAAGGGTATAAATTGAGAAAAGACATTTGTCTTTAATTACATTAATTGCAGTGTATATGCTGGTGAATAACTGTAATAAAGATTTGACTTGATGTGTGTTTTATTAAAACATTAATAAGGTTGCTATCCTATGTAGCATTTTGAGATTGTAGCCAGATGTCTTCTTAGAATCCCCAATTATTTATAAGCCAGTGCAACTGTCTAAAAGCACTCAGTGTGCATGTTGTTCAGTTGCTAAGTCGTGTTCGACTCTTCTTGGCCCTATGGGACCATAGCATGACAGACCCCTGTCCTCCACTGTCTCTCGGAATTTGTCTAAACTTACGTTCATTGTGTCAGTGACACTATCTAACCATTTCATCCTCTGCTTCTCCTCCTTTTGCCTTTCCCAACATCGGGGTCTTTTCAATTCAGTGTGCATATTGTTTTCAAAATACAAGACAATATAAGTTCCTGAGTTTTGTAGTCTTTGCTTTTGGCCTACATTGACAGCTTACTTACAAATCTTGCTGTCTCGGTATTAGTTTAATCATTCTTCTGATGCAATCTTTTGTCATAGGGCACAAAAGTGTTACTTCTTTTTCTAGCTAATGCCATACTTCAAATGCTCTCAACTTTTAGAAAAAAAACGGTGTAAGCAATTTTATTTCTTGATATAAGTCAAATTTGGTATTTTGGAACTTGGTTTTAATATAACGTGTTAGGTCACAAACCTCATTCTGTAAATTAAGAACTGAGATTCAGAATTTAAAATTCACTTTATGGCCTTGTAATGGATGTTTGAAGGCCAATATTATCTTTGTTGTACCAAAGTAACTTGCCATGTCTTATGGTTTCAAATGAGCTTCTCTTTATTTTGTCAGTATAGACTTTGCAGTGAATAAACACTCACTTCCATATAGTAAAGATAATGGTAACAACTCCATGTCCACTTTCTGTCTTAGTTCTTTTTACTTATGCTGAATATGTATTTTTCTAAGTATTTAATGATGCTAAAACACTGCTCTTAGGCTAAACAAATATTACATAACATTATTGAGCAGTGAAATAGAGGGAGAAAAAGCTTATACTGCAGTTTAAACTGATAAGCTTTATCCAAGAATAGTCCATTTGAAGTATTTTCTGTAAGTAAATTGAATGTTTGCCATGCTTTCTGTATCAGCCTGTTCAGTGCCATAGTTAAATACTGGGCTAATCTGGTTGATTTAACTGCAACAGATGTCAGTGATACATAATCTATAAAGTTAAAAAGTACTTTAAGAAGTTAAACTAAACCTCAATGTTTGAACACTGGAGATTTTAAACATACACATTTCTTAAAGTATATGATTTATATCTATATTAAATGTTCTATGGAATGTAAAGTTGGTAAATTAATCTTATATTTTTTTGATTTTAATTACAAATTACCTTTTGAATCATTTTTTCAATCTATATGAATCTCTCTCTCTCTCTCTCTCTCTCACACACACACACACACACACACAAGCTCTGGAAAAGTAGTCAGACTTCAGAAACATTTTCCAACTACAGAAATCATAAGGCTAAAACTTCATAGACTAAGTCTAAAAATTTAACAAACTTCCCCCCCAAAAGTTTATACATGTATATAAATTAAGAAATATTAACAGATCAAAAAGAAGAATTTGCATACTGTTTAGTTGTATTTTTAAATTATCTGGTAAGGAGGCACTGATTGAAAGGTTGAACTCGTGTATTAATTGGAAATTTATTATATAGCAAAATGTTGCATTAGCATATATAGTTACTTGTGTCCTAATTTGATAGGAAGAATAAATAAAAATGTCCATGGAAGAACAAATACAGTGCTTAAATAACAATAAATGACATTCTGTGTGTATGTGAAACTCACTGTAGGATTTATATTTCATTGTATGTTTATATATGAAACCATGTTTCACTGTAAGATTTAATTAAGAATAGATTTTCATAGGAGTGTATTTCAAAGACTTCCATTGATTTAAGAGCGTGACCAGCTAATACTTGGGTTTCTTCCCATATTTGTGTTCTCTTCTTAGTAAAACAAAACAAGGTCTGTTGCCTAGTTTGGAAGATTTGCTCTTCTATACTATTGCAGAAGGACAAGAAAAAATACCAGTTCATAAGTTCATCACAGTAAGTTTTTAATATGTTTCTAATAAATCATATGCTAAGTAAATTAAATATCATGGTTCCAATAAATGAAACCAATTAAAAGAACTTCAAGGCAAGGAGTTCTTCCTTAAAGAACATTTTATTCAGGAAACAAAGTATCGGCACTTACATAGTTGAACCCAAGACTAAAGTTCCCTCCCCCGATACAAAGTAACAAGTTGCAATTCCCATCCCAGAAAGGCCGTCATAAATCACATTCACCAATTAATCTAAAATCCTCCCCACTTTACTGCCAGCAAACTTTATCTAGAATTGACCTCACCCAGCTGCAATTGTTTAGACCAGAGGTAGGCAACCTTGGCTCTTTTATGACTCGTGGACTTCAACTCCCAGAATTCCTGAGCCAGCCATGCTGGCTCATTAATTCTGGGAGTTGAAGTCCACGAGTCATAAAAGAGCCAAGGTTGCCTACCCCTGGTTTATAGGCTAACTTAAAAAGCTCAAGCATTCCTCCCTCCCCCTTTCTACATCTGAGAACCCAAGCAACAGAAAAAGCACAAGTAAAATAAAAGGTAAAATGGCTGCAATTTCTTAATTGTCACAGCGTTGACATTAGCCATATATCTTTTTATTTTTGAAAAACAGTCTATATCAGTGGTGGCGAACCTATGGCACGCATGCCAGAAGCGGCACTCAGAGCCCTCTCTGTGGGCACACGCACCGCCACCACTAGCAGCTCACGTATGTCCATTAGGCCGCCGCCCGGAGCAGCAACCCTGGCCAGCACAAAGCATGCAAAACAGCCTGCTAGCAAGCTCAAGTATGTTAGAGCATCGAGGTGGCCACGCCTACCTGGCCACACCACCCAGTCTGCTGTGATCACCCTGGCCACACCCACCCAGTGGGCCACACACCCCGCCCTCCCTGAGGGAACCACAATGCTGATGTGGCCCTGGCACTTTGCAATAAATAAATGGGTTTTGGGTTGCGGTTTGGGCACCCGGTCTCTAAAAGGTTCGCCATCACTGGTATATATCATATAAGTTTGGTAATGATCAAGTAATGGGAAGGTTACTAAAACTGAGTGTCACAGAAATTTTAAGTTTTAAAGAAGGCTGTACTACCATTTTACTCACATGATCAAATTTAGGGAGTGTGAATATATGTATTTTAAAACAAAACACTGTAAACAAATGTCTGTGAACTCTCTATTGCAATCTAATGGAAAAGAAGATCAGATGGGAATAAGAATATTATGTGAATTAGTGTTCTGAATAAGAAATATCTGTGATGCTTTTTTTATTTTACAGGCTTTAAAATCTACAGGTTTACGAACATCTGATCCAAGACTGAAAGAATGCATGGATATGTTAAGATTGACGCTTCAGACAACATCAGATGGTGTCATGCTAGATAAAGATCTCTTTAAAAAGTAAGTACATCAATAGATTTGCTACAGCTTGTATTTAGCATGTAATAATGAGGCAGTAGGAAATGATACAAATGAGCACTGATCAGAAATACTTTTCAATATGCAATTCCTCCACATCTGATTTCAGGGAAGGAGGAAGAGCATTGAGGAGACCAAAGTATGTATTATATCAGTCGTGGATATCTTACCTTCAGTAAATTATATCTTGGGATACAAATATAGTCTTTAGATTTCAGAATCACTTTTATTATCTCTGTAATGAGAGACAGTATATGGTATTATGATGTGGTTATTTTCACTCATGTAATAATAATTTTTCATATTTCACAGATGTGTCCAAAGCAACATTGTGTTACTAACACAGGCTTTTAGGCGAAAATTTGTCATTCCTGATTTTGTGTCTTTTGCCTCTCATATTGATGAGTTATATGAAAATGCTAAAAAACACTCAGGAGGGAAGGTAAGTGTCTTATTAAAAATAATTGGTGGCAATATAGAGATGGGTAAGCTGCAGTTTATATTTGTTTGTGCCCTTCAAAACATCCTGAGATCATGCCATCAATCTTTGTGGAAAGGTATAGAATATTCTCCATGTGATTTTCATTGATCTGTGGACTGAAGGATGGTTTTAAGTGCAAGTAATCCTCACTTATCAATTGCTTGTTCAGCATCTATTTAAAGGTATGAGAATACTGAAAAATGAGATTTACAAGTGATTCTCAGAGTTGTTGTCATTGTAATGTCCTGATGGTTATGTAATTGTGATTTGGGCGTTTGGCAACTAGTGCATTTATAATGGTTGTAATATCCCATGATCACTATTTGCGACCTTCAGAGCTGGCTTCCAACAAGCAAAGTCAATGGGGAAGCCAGTAGGAAATTGCAAGTCATGTTCAAGTGACATCATGCTTAATGATCCATGGCACTTAATAACTGCATCTAGGATAGACAGTGTAAATCAGAACAGTCACGTGGTATTTCACTTTGCAACTGCATTGCTTAGTGACACAGTTGCCAGTCCCAATTGCTTTCAGTAAGTGAGGAGTACCTGAATAAGTTAGTGATGGGCTTCTGTGAGATAAAACACTCCCTATTCTGCTAGTTCCCCAAAACAAAGGAAAAACAGGTCAAACATATTCTGTTGTCATCTGTCCAAAGCTTTCCGTAATCTGCAGGCAGGTTAAGAAAGTACCCAGTCATGAGCTAGGCTAATGCTATTTAAAAAAAAATACAGTTCAAATTTTCATTTTTTATATATTCCTAAAAGTTGAGAGATGATTTGTCAAAGTGAGTCCCACAAAGAGGGTATAATTACATTTGTACATTTGTGTTTCCCAACAACTGATATTATTAATAAGCATAGATTGAGCAGATTTTTGTTTTCCCTGATTCCTTTCTATGTAGCATATGCAAGTGAATATATACAGTAAGTTCCACGGTTTTTTTAAATTAGAAATTTAAACATCTATGCATATCTCCTATATCTGTGGACATCCAAGAAAATGGAGCACAGGGTTATTATTTCCCCCACCCCAATCATTTTGTTATCTTTTCCTTATGTGTACATTTTATAATGAAAGCAAATCCAATAGAATATTGGAATATTTAGGACAGTAAGTTTTTGTTATGCGTTGGATTTTAATTCTAACCAGTAAGTGAATGGCATTTCCCCCCCCTCTATCTATCTTTTCTGGCTGCAAGTATTCTGTCTCTAGAATATTTTTATACTTGCATAAAAGAACAGTCATAATTTTATGTAAAATGCTATCATCTGGAAAAAAGGATTTTTTTGGGGTATAATAGCCTGCTTATGAAAATATTTTTTATTATATTTTATTATTTATTATAATTTATTATTAAAGTTTACAAATTACAATAATTAAAAACTAGTGTAAGAAAAATTAGAAGATGCAAAAGAGAGAAAGAAAAGAAAAATAGAAAAGAAAGAAAAAGAATATAATAAAGAAAAAAATGACTTGCCTCTTCATCATAACTGTAAACAATTTTAGTAACTTATCACCTTCTTTTAAAATGCAATAAATTGTCTCTTCTTCCCATACCCCTTCTCTTATCTATTGACAAATTCATAAAATCTTGTCATTTCAGTCCTTATGTCAGCAAAAGTCTATTAAGATAACAACATATCTATTTTAATTTAGATTAAAAAAAATTTCTATTCCTTCATTTTACTTCTAACAATTTTAGTCCATTCAAATAATGACATAAAACTTGATTTCTTTTTTTTTCCCCTTTGTCCTTTCTCACAAGATTCCTCAAAACTTTAACAAATGTCTTTGGTCAATGCAATATAGGAAAGTTATCCCGGTCACTTGGTTTGCAATTTTTATATCATTTTTAATTATTAGGACATCAGCTAGTTTCTTTTGTATGGCTAGTGTAACATCTTTTTATGTCATTCTTGTAGCCTATATTTTAAAATATACTTTCAAATCAATCACAGTTGTGTCAGATAATATGTCCACAGCATGTTAAACACAATCTTGTTTACAGAGGCAGACACTCTTAGGATTAACTTTTGGGTCCATTGTTCAAAAATATTGTTCAATATGTCCATAGTTAAAATATTTTGCTTCATTCTATATTAGTCAAGTTTGATCATTGATCAATTCTTTAATTAATTAATTAATTAGTTTTTTTTTATTCTTTAATTAAACCCTTCCAGTTACCTCTGCTATCCAAGTTTTAAAGTCTTATCTTACTATGTTTTTTAAAGAATTCAAAATAAAAGCAGCATCCCAAGAAAAGGATTCTTTGTAATTAATTTCAAAATCGTATTTCAAATTTATCTGGACCCTTAAGTCCATTTTTAAATTTCAAATCAAAGTTTTAATCACCCTTTTTGCTGTTTATTCCAGGAAAAAAAATTAAGTCCTTAAACTTGTATTTAAAACTTATTTCACAAAGGATTGAAGGGAATTCACCCATGGTATAAAACTTGATGATCCAAAAGTACCTGATAGCTAGCAATTTCCAAAAGCGATTAGAAAAGAAAGTATGCAAACGTCTGCTTGTCACTATAGTCTTGTTTTGCCTGGATTGTCTGCATTATACCTCTGCAACTGATACCCATGTTTAGAGTGGTTTGGAATCAACATGCTACATTTTGTACTATGCTTTTAGGAAGCTATTTTGGTTCTATTCACATATAGTTAAACTATAAATCATGCTGTAAAAAACATACTAGTTGGGATCAAATATTGACAGTGCCAGTATCAAACAACATTATGGCTTACTGCGATGTGTATGGTAAAACTAGTCCTAGAATGGCACACCTATTTGGGCTGATAATAGAGGCACCAGAGATTTGACCATTTGCAAATTATTCATTTATATACTTATGAAAGAAAAAGTGCAGATAACCTTGAGTGAATTCTTAAAATTAGTTTCTATAAGCTTTACCATTTTTCATATAAAGTGGACAAGAAGAAAACTATAGCGAACCTTTTTTTTTTGCTTTTGTTCGCTTGGTAGATCTTGCTTAAAAAAATTGGGAGAGGTTAGATAGGTGTTTGTGCCTTTTATTATTTTAATAGTTTTTTAATAGCTGAATTTCATGTATTCATTATTTGTAACTATATAATCTAATTATTTTATATTGGATTTTTTTTGTGTAGGTTGCGGACTATATCCCACAACTGGCTAAATTCAGTCCTGACTTATGGGCAGTTTCTGTTTGCACAGTCGATGGGCAGAGGTATTGTAGCTTAAATATCTGAACTGATGAAATAATTTCAGTTGTAGAAAGAGAACCAGAGACATCCTTTGAGGGGTTAATTTACAAATATAAGGTAGTTCTGTATAATCCATGATGTATGTTTCTTATGGTACTAGAGAAAAGATAGGATTTTTAGTTCTGCTTAAGGCATTCTAGTTTTTAGTAGAAAATAGAATGATGCTTCAGAAGTTGAGAGTTCCTTTTTTGAAACAATGTTTTTACATCTCCTGTTCCTCAAAACAACATGCTGATAACTTGATTGTATGCCTTTTGTGCATTGAATAATCCTAATTTAATTATCCATGCTATGTTACAATATTAATATAAATTACGGTTTTATAATCCATTCCTGGTTGTTACACAAAACATTTCAGTTTTTTTACACATCCATATATGGATTGCCATGATTCCTTGGTCCTCTTTTTGATTTAGTGATATTATAGATACTGCTGGGTTTTTTTTGACATGCTCTGTTTCTCCAAGGCTAGCAAGCGTAAAGTTACACTTTCACAAGGTAAAATCCAGTTTTGGACAAGAAATGGATTGTTGCAAATAATTATCTTTGGAAAATGTAATTCTAAAAAATACAAGATGCATAGCATTAGAAAGTACTCGTTAATGAAGAGTTATGGCAGACTTCTAAAATTTATCTTGTCCTTTTAATATTTCTACATATGACCTGATTCACGTTATCTTAGCTCATTAGAACAGGTCTTGAAAATGAAGGGGGCATCAAATATATAAGAATGTTTAAAGGAGAAATTAAAGTAGGAATTAACATGAATCTAATATAAATTGCAGTATTCTGCAATTGAAACTATTCAGCATATATTATGCAATTCTTGAATAGCCACTTTGAAACCACGAAGCTTTGTTTCCATGAAGATTTGAAATAGCACAAACTAAACATGCTCTTTTTAGTTTGAGTAGATAATTTGTACAATTGGGAGAAAGGAATTCATTTTTTCTATAGTTTTTAATTACACAAACTGTCATTTGCTTATTTTTATCTTATGTACACAATCTATTTTAAATGATAATGTATGCAGTTCTATATAATATTGACATGCATGCTTAGCAAATATGAACAAAAGCCAATTTTCCTCTATGGATATCAAAAAATTCAGTGCCATCAGAATTAAATAGGATATAACTAAAATTTGTAAAGTGTTATTCAAATAGCTTTGAAGTAAGTCAGTTTTGGAAAGTTTAAATCTGTTGTAGATTTATTTAAAAAATAGCTCATTTGCATTTATACATAGGATTAGATACAACCATGGGAAAATTTAAATAACAGATTTGAGAATTATAATTTCACTGATGGATGCTAACACATCACGCTTCTTGAACAATAATTTAGGAGTTTTATTTCCAAAAATGGCATTGACAAAAACATGAAATTTATTTAATTAAATTTAATTTTAAAGTAATATTAATGCAATTAGCTAAAATATTACATTAACATTATGCTATTATAATATAATATAGTTAACTCCTGATATATTTAATAAATACTACTATCACAGGGAAATGACAATTTGACTGCAACTTATAGAGGAGGTCTGGGAATCCACTTTGAAGACTAGACTGAAAATGGTATAATCCTGCCTTACGTACATATAAGCATATTTGTATTTTATCAAACCAAATAACTGTCTAATCTAGCAGGATGTAATCATAATAACTTCCATGCTTTAAGTTAGAGTGGTTGATGCTCCTTGTAAGGAGTATGCATGTTGCTGTAACCAGATTTACCATCTTTCATTGTTTATTTTATCTGGGTTTGCATATTACTTTGTGTTTTTATGCTGTGAGTTGCCCAGAGTTAACTGGAGTCCAGCTTGGTGCAAGTTGAATTAAATAAATAAATAACTGGTGACCATTGAGATCATAACTAGTGGTCCCTGAGGTTCTCCATGGAATTGTTTGGTCTCTCTTACAAAGTAAATGCTGTATATATATATATAAATATTTCACATTTACTGGCTAAAAGAAATCACTGTTCAGCTTCATTGAATGACCATAGTTTCTGATAATATGATAAAGAACAATGACAATGTTTCTTTCTCTACATTATGCATGCTTCCATTGAGTGATACAAATTCCTTATTCTTTTTACTAATATTTTATTTTTTGTTTTATTTTATTACTGGATGTATACCCTGCCTTTCTGTTTATAGCATCCAAATACTTTGGATGTTGAAATATTTCCATATGATAGTTATATCAATTCCTTGATCAATTAGTTTTTGTAGCTATTTCATATTAAGAAGATAAATTATTTATTTCTAAACTTGTTTGCTTATATTTACTCTGAGTATGGCAAGTCTCTCAAATAACTGTTCAGGATTTGCTAAGGAATTTCGCTTTTATTTTTAATATGGTAGAGTGTATTTTCTACCATGTTAAAGATGAAATAGAATCTCTTAGATGTTCTTTTGTATAGCAGTGGTTCATAATAGAATCTTCCCAAAGCCTTTGCCTTAAAATGTACATTTTTTTATTTCTCAGGAAAAATGTGAGTGAATGTAATAAATAATATAATATTTATTTTACAGGCATTCTATCGGAGATACCAAAGTCCCATTTTGTCTTCAGTCCTGTGTAAAGCCTTTGAAGTATGCTATTGCTGTTAATGATCTTGGCACTGAGTATGTACACAGATATGTTGGTAAAGAACCTAGTGGATTAAGATTCAACAAACTGTTCCTCAATGAAGATGGTAAGTTATATGTGCAATTATCATTTCTTAATATGGTATCTATGAAATAGATTTGCGTGACAGAGAAGGTTAGTAGGTCTGGACATCACACGTTAAGCTGTTATTTTGTGCCTTACAAGTCAATGTTGACTCTTGGTCATTACCAGGACAAGTCTCTGCAGTTTTCTTGGTGAGATTTCAGAAGCAGTTTGTTGTTGCCTGCTGTCTAGGACTGAAAGAGATTGATCAGCCCAAGATCACCTGATTGGCTTTGCCTATGGTGGGACTAGACTTCACAGTCTCTTGGTTTCTAGTCTGGTATCTTATCCAAATTCGCTCTCTACACCTTAAGAAGAATTTAGCAAATTGAAACAAGTTCAGGAAGGACCTGACTAAAAATATAATCCTATAAGGAGAGACGGAAGCAATGGGGAATGCTTAATATTTACCAGAGAAGACTTGAGGGAGTGACAACATTTTTAAATAGCTGAAGGATGCTGCGCAAAAGAAGGTGAAGTCACATTGTAACCTGAACATGGCTACAGGTTATAGGAGGGCAGATTCTGATCGAACGCTAGAAAAAATCTTGAACAGTAAGAATGGTTACTGAGCAGGTACTAGTGGAATCTAGTACCCATAGAAGTAGTCACTTCTTCTTTGCTGGATGTGTTCAGCTAGAAGCTAAATGGACTTCTGTCAGAAATGTTTAATATAGATTCCAGCACCGATCAAGGGTTAGGACTAAATGGCTCCTCTCATCATATTTATTGATTATGACAACACAGTATTTCAAAAGAAGGATGGGGAGTCTGTGGCTGGTCATATGTTCCTAACTACCGCCCTTAGAAACCCAGGCCAGAATGGCAAATGGTCGGTTTTGCTAGGTTATTTTGTTTATAACTTGTGAGGAGACAGACATTAATTATTCCAAATGAGATACAAACATAGATTTATGCTATGCTAATGAGAAATAGCATTTGAGAATGTATTGCCACATAGCAGGTCATGTTGCTGTTCTAAAATCAATGGTTATTGTGTATGGTATATACTGTATGGTGCTGACTTATATGTTCAATACAAGATATATATATTTTCCTTTTTATGAGGGTCCATTTTCTCTAAGACATGATTAATTGTAATGCATAAACCAAGAATTAAAGCTAGTAAGGAACTGTTTAGATTAGTAAGAAAATAAATCAGGAAGTAAAATTGTGGTAAATAGTGGTCTAACCATACCTACGATGGATCAGTCACAATTATTTATACATATATGTTCTTAAAAATTGTATTAGAGTTTGATGTGAAGAAAATCTCATTTCTTTTGAATTCTATTATCAGCACTTTTTCCCACTAATTCATCCACTGCAGATAACAGTACCAAATTAAAGCATTGTAAATGCTTCTGCAGTTTGGAAACTGGTTCTGCTGTTCTGTGATTATTTCATAAAGTTAATTTGTGATCTCATTTGGTTCTGTTCAGTATAGTTCTGAACAGTATATTGAATATATGGTGAAAAAATGTGTATATTTCCAATAATTTTAATAGGATAAAATTAAGAGATTTCATTGGAACATACAGTGTTCCACTGTGCAGTGGATTTTTTTTGTATATTTAACAAGAAATATTGCTGATTCGGAACATTAAAATGACTCTTATATTACGTATTTGATCTAATAATATAATTAAATAAATGAGCTGCTATCTGCATTTTACATCAATTTTATTTATGCACTACAAATACTGTAAAGGCTCAAGCAATGTTTTTGGATTTTAATGGATGTGTTGTATTAGAAATATTTTCTTCCTTTTCTGATTATTTGCTCTTTTTGTGTGTGAGAGTTTTCTTTTACTTTTAAGTATGGGATATATAGATTTAATGGAACACAGGAAATACTCATGTATTGGCTTTCAGAGATATCCCCATAATTCTGAAGTGAATCTGACACTTCTTTTTTTTGTAACACTATATATATATTTCTGGCACATACTTGCTAGTTCTATATTTTTTTTTCTTTTCCTTTACTCTATCCCTTCTCTAAGGGTATATTAGTTGTTGAATATAAACAACTGTTATAAGCCTTGAGTTCCAAGTCATTAGTTTCATATAACTAACTAAGCTTTTGAAAGCTAGGATACAGTGACACCCTTGGCAAGATTCCATGTGTGCAAAGGTTTGCAGTCTGTTCCAAAAGACATATGCCTCAAATGTTATGTCTAAAAATTACTGTCACATGCTAGCTCATAATTTCATTTGGACTAGCGTGCATAGACTTTTATTGACCAATGCTAAATAAAATATACTGGTATTTCTATATCGAAATGTCACCTTAGTTTTCAAAATACTGACCAAGAATGCAATCTTGAAAGCAGCTGAAATTCAATTTCCCTGCATTTGAAATCCTTTTAAATATTTTTGAACTCTTTGATATTTTTTCAAAGATCCTTGAACCCATTTTGTACATGCTCTCATCTTAACCATTTATTACCAATGTTTTTATGGGAAAACTAGAAGACAGTTAAGTTTTGTTCTTGATATTGTGTTCTAGGTCAATAGGACCTCTTTTTGCATACAGAATAATCTCTAATTGATTATTAAAGCCCCTTCACATTGTACCTTAACTGATCCTGAGCAGACATTCCCTAGTTGACTGGGTAGGGACAGGCAGAAACTGTTGGGAAAACTATTGATCCCAAAGATACCCTAAGCCACTTATAAATAGTGAAACCACTTTGGATTTCATTTGGAAATCTACTTGATAACCAGTGCAGTTCCTGCAGCCGAGTTCTGACATGGCAGTTCTATGATTAATCAGTCAGCATTCATGTCACTGCATTATGGATAAGCTACCATTTCTAGATGGTCTTCAAGGGTAGAGTCATGAACAGCAAATTGTACTAATCTTATCAAAAGTTAGCACAGGTATTTTGTACCATGAAAGCCTATAGTTTGCACACTGGCCAAAATTATGCACAACTTTGAGGGAGTACAGCTTCTGCAAAAGCCAGATATGCTACAGTTGGCTTGTGACTCAACAGCCATTCCATCTTATTTGGGCTGAGTTTGTGTAAAAGATAAGCCAGGAAATCTATTTAGTTTTCTGAAATCATTGTTGATCATTGGTGCTTAATGTTATAGAAATTCGATGGTCGGAATTGCCCCACTCTCTGATTTCATTTTTTAAATGAGCCTATAGAATCCTGAGCTTATGTATTTGAGGTTGACATGGAGGTGCCTAATGTAATGGAGAAAAAAACTGCAGATAATTGCAGATAAGTGAAGCATTATTAAATTGAAGTGTATCTGCAAGAAAATGTACATCTGAGAAAGGGGATGAACTGTTTCCCCTTCACATTTGTGATTCCAATTTTTTTTTTAAAATGAAAACCTTATAAAATATGGGATAGTATGTAATGTTGGTTTAGGCTATCTTTACCATGACTTGAATTTGATAAAGATATCTCCAATTTTAACCAAATGATAAAATTGAAAGGATAACAATGTACGAATTTGAAACACTGAGTTGGGTTGAAGTAGTCCAAGCAATAGTTATTGAAAAATCATAGTTGCTATTTCATGTTGGGATTGGATATGCAGTCACATATATTAAAATGATAGAATAAAACTGGAAGATGATATAAAGAATGGGCACAAGTTCATGTGATATTGGAAATCAGATTAGTATTAAAAAGCAAAGAAAGAAAACATCAGGATTCATCCTCCTAATTAGATGGAAAACATGGCATCAGCTGACCATAAGAAAGATAGCTATGAATAATTTGACTAATTTGTGCTGAAGCTTTGTTCATTTAATTTTTTGGAAGGTACATTTCTGTGATTAGATCCTTTTTTTTATTATTTTACAGACAGACCTCATAATCCTATGGTGAATGCTGGAGCAATTGTGATCACCTCTTTGATCAAGGTAAAATATGTACAGTGAATATTTCTGACAGCTGCACTAATAAATAGTTTGTAAGAAATTATAAGCAGAATTAGATTCCATATTTTGACATGGAAATTTTCCTATACTGCTTCTTTCAGACCATAGAAGCATGTAGTCATTATCACTTGCGTGCCTCTGAAATTGTTTTCAGTGCTTGTTTTTCAGCTGCCTGTTGCTCCCCAAATTCAAAAAGGAGTTTTGGGATACGGAGCAAGATAAGGTTTAAGGGGGAATGTTGCTGGTATGTTTCTCTTTCTCTTTCCCCACCTCCCTCACTTTTACGTTATAGTTTGAAAGACTTTCATAAAATCCTAACTGCTTTTGAAACTGGGTTTGATAAAAGTTTCTTTCTTTGAAAAAAATTAATATAAATATACCTTTTTAGATTGTGGAATGACATACTTTGATGTACAAATATTATATTAGACAAACTTGGGAGTTTTTTTTTTTATAAAGAAAGCCCCTCATAAAGTTACAAGTTGAACCTTTTAGCAGTTTTAGTATGGAGTTTCATGTTTTTGTAACTTTATTTTAAGAATGAGTTAGAGTTATGCTTCCATTGAGAGAACTATTTTTTCATTAAATAATTCATTTTATATTTCAATTTATACATTCACCAGATATAAAGTTAAATCCCCTGGCACTTCCTTAATTTTAAATATTGGTACTTTTGGAAGTAATGTCATTTTTAAAATATTTGGCTTAATAATTAACAGAGTTTTGGGACAGATTTCCACAATTAAAGTATACATACTTTGAATTACAGGTTATTGTTAATCTTTAAAAGTATATATTTATATATATTTATCTATCACTAAGATATCTCAAAAAAAGTTTTTAAAGAACATTATCCCTTCTCTTTAATTTTGTAGTAGAGTAATCAAAATGGAGATTTTAAATATTTGATTACATCATATCCTTATAGCTTTAATTTTGAAAGGCTATTTTAGTTTTGGCTCATGGTTTTCTGCTTCTATGTAAAACAATTCCTGCTTTAAACATTTATCTTTAATAGCTGTAGGTGAAGGAAAATGGCCTTAAATTCGACAGGTAAATTTATTCATGATTATTTTTTTCCTGGAGGTTTAAATAACTTAAAATTCATCTTGACAATGAGATTTTGAAACAAGTGGTAGACAGTTCATCAGACAGCTCAGTGCATTTCTTGTTCACACAATAGTCTTTTATACAGTAACCCAATATATCCTCTGAAGTGCACACACGTTTGGAAATTAATTTTATTAAAATTAATGAATTGCCGATCAAATACATATTTTATTGGGAAGCAAAAACCCACTTTAGGTTTCAGGCCATTACAGTATATTGCAGTTTTCCTTTTTACTGCATGCAGTTGTAATATAAAAACACAGCAACAATGTTACAAGTCAGTATTGAGTGCATTGAAACTTTGCATGTAGTATCTGCATGTCTAGCAGACATAAACCACCATATTGTACTGTTATTTGTTTATAGTGATTGTAAGACATTTATGTGTTCCATCTTCTGGGAAGTTATTTTATAAAAGTTGTCTACGAATTGGGAAAATTCAAGTAATTAAATTAAAATTAACCTTTCTCATCTTCCCCCCAAAGTTGATTTAAGACTTACTCTGATAAATTAGATCTATTTTGATGTGCTGTAATGATGTGTGACATTTCAACAGCCTCACAAATAAAGTTATAGAACCTAGTAGTCCATTTTCACAGGAAACACCTTTGTAAATCTTCTCTTTTTAATTAATTAGCTGAAAGCATTTCTGTCGTGTTCAAGTATTGGACAAATAAATATTTTTGTGCATTTTGCACCTTCAATTGAAGATTAAATCCTAGAAATCCAGGAATTTACCTGGAAGAAAGGCAATCCCGAATTTATAACAATCCTTCCCAAAAGAAAGAGTAGACTCTGTGTATGTGCACACATATACATACACATACATAAATTCTGTGCAATACCCTGTTTTCCCATTGTATCAACCTAAGGTCCATTTTGTGTGCCCCTCCTTTCCTAAAGCCTTTTTCCAAAAAAGGGGCCTAGATCAGGAGAAAACAAAATGAAACTCCCCTACCAATTAAAATTAATTATTTGTAAAAAAATTGGTTATGTATAAAATTGACTTACTGCCATCTGCATATACCATTTCCTCTCTCACACTGAAATTGATATTATACATGCAGACAAGTTACGTGAGGTGAATCTGTGCCAGAAAGCAAAGAGCGAAGCCCTATTTAGTTGTTAGGAAAGGTTAAATGCAAGCCCTCACTCCTTTCCCCCCTCCCCCCCCAGCAAGCAGTGGGACAAACTTTAGGCTAATCTCTCCAAGGCATTAATGTTTTTTAGCAGGAATTTCTGCTATCATTTGTATCTTCTGCTTTTCATATTTTATTCTATTCTTATCAGTAGAAAGTGGGAAAATCCCCTCAATTCACAAATTTGCAAGTCTTAATAAGAAATCTGTGGAGTTAGCTACAGATGAAATTCCTAGGTGTGCACAAATATTTGATAATAATCCTTACCATATTAGTGCAACTTCTTATTTTTGTTTCATGGTAGCTTGTTCAAGCAACTGATATTTGAAAATAGCAAAAAAAGGGCCTGTTTAATTCCACTCATTTTGAATCGCAATCCAAGTAGTTATACAAAGACTTTGAACGTGAAGAGCTAAATCATACCCCCCCCATCTGTGGCTCTTTTATTTGTGCTCCATAGCATCAATAAAGACAAAAATAAAAATGAGTTATTTTTTAGAGCATAAGTGAGGAATCTGGTGGTTTCTCACTTTGGGATTATGCTCTCATCAACTTCCATGGCAACCAACACTAATAGGAGATGGAGAACCCCAGGTTACCCCCACTGTTCTATAACATTTTTCTTAAAGTGGGGTTTACATGCAGAGACACACCTTCTCCCTTACATGTTTCTTGCTACTATTCTGGAAAAGGGAGTTTAAGATTTCTTCCTGGCAGCTTGCCAACTAGTTGTTTGGCAGTCTTTTGATGAATGATATAAATGGGGAATGATATCACCAGGATAGCGGTACTACTCGTTAAGGATGCAGCAATCAATGCAATTTAATCCAAATACCAGTTGCAGTTGGCATGTGGAGGAGGTCTCATTGGTGCCAATAGCATTGCTTCTGTTTAGGATTGTAGCTGAGACAGGCACAAAAGTCCCTCTTTTCCTATGTGCGATAGTATCAGTGAGAATTGTGTTCCCCCTTCCTCGCAGTCAATAGTAAATAAAAAATTAACAAGCTCTGTAATGTGAGATCTAGCATGATTTAAAGATGCATCTATGTTGAGATTATAGGATAGAAGTTGGGATAAAATAATAATATGCCAAATCTAGTCTAATCATCTGGCTGACTATGCAACCAATCATAATAATACCATTGGCATTGACAAAATCACCATCACTCAGTTGCAAAAGTCAGCTTTACTTGGAATAACATACACCCTATGGTGATACCTTTAATATTATTAAACAACATTTGCCTATCCCTGAGTCCTTGGGAAGGACTCAATAGGTGGGCAAAAATGCCATTACCAGTCTAAATATCTGGATCAGTGTGCAATAATGGCGTGACTAGGAGGCTTGTTTGTAAATACTAGAGAGATTACATAGATGGGCCTTTGATTTTAGTTTGGAAAGATGTTCTTATTCTTTTAGCGTGGTGCATGCTCTGTATCATTTATTTGTTAGTTATGGTAACACATTGTGTCAGTTAGTTAAGAATTCTGAATAATAAAAGAGCTCAATAACATAACATATACTGGCATTTGAATTCCATAGTTTAATATATAAGCAGCCTCACATTCCTTGTGACAGCTGTTAACCAGAATGGTATCCTTCATACACTCTGGGCCCCATAAAACCAGGCCTTTAGGGCCTTACAGATGGCCAGCAGAATTGGGGCCTTTGTAATCTCTGCAGGGAGACTGTTCCATAGTGCAGATGCTATGGCATGTTCCATAGTGCAGATGCTATGGCAGAAAAGGCTCATTAATTGCTATTTCCTGGCCATTGGTGCCCACAACATGCCCATTCTGCTGGAAAGAAACACCTGGGGGGAAAAATGGTCCCACAGATAATGTGGTCCCAAGCTATGAATGACTTTAAAGGTGATAACCAGCACTGATACATTTGGCATATCATTGTTTTCTTTTTCTTTATCTGTGTTACTAGATAAAGTTGAGAGTATTTAATATTTTTATTTTTGGCTTCTTAGCTTCTTAGTTATGTTATGGCCATATAGTTATGCCCATTGCTACCATCTTAGAATATAATTTCCTATCATTTTGAACAGGGCTTTTTAGATATTTTTTTCTTGTGGTCAAAGATTAGTACAAAATAAAATTCTATAGTTAAAATAAAGCAGATTGCATATAAAAAAGAATAAGTTGTAAAATTAACTGAGCTTATCAGTTGGTCACCTGTACATTTTACATACGAGATAGCAGAATTTAGCTACATTTAGGGTAACAGTCACAGGTATCCGAAAGGAGAATTTGTAATAAAATTTCTGGAATGACCATTTAAGTAGGAAATATGCTTAAATGTGGGGTTATCAACTCTGGCTATGTGCCAGGATAAAACAGATAATATATTATAGTTTAACCATTTCAATAACCCCTTTGCTACACAAGCAAAACCTTAGAAAGCCATACAATATGTTATTTTTTTAAAAAAAAATAATCCCAGAACCTCTGATCAAGAGGCAAAGCTCTCTTGACAGAAGATTGGCTGTGCTCAGGTCAACTTCTTTTGCCCTTAGTCTCTCAAAGAATCCCATCAAGTTCTCATAGTATTGTTCCATACAATACTATGGAACAGAGTTTGAAAAAACATTTTTGTAAGATGTTCACCTCTTAATTCATATGTGGAATCCTAAGTTGTATCCTGCATATATGTGCCCTAATCAACTCTGTGTTCTGGTAAATTCACTGTGTTATCTCTAGTTAAAATGCCAGCCCACAGGCCGGTTCCATCATGCGGAGGCCGCGCCCACCCCAGCTCCGACAATGCGAAAAAAGTCATGATAGGTTACGACACGTCATGTGATGCAGCGAGTTTGACACCCGTACTCTATTTACAGCTTAAATGAATGTAAAATAATCACTAGCTTTAAACACAAATGCTGTAATTAAAAACAGCAGTTGGAGGTAAAACCACTTTTATTAAACATAACACTTTCTAAGTGAGGTTGTGGAAGAACTTGATGACTAAATCAAAGTGTCTGAAATATGGTAATAGAAAACAATTTCTTGCAATGTTCTGCGATGGTATTCAACTATTATATGACATAGTACAGTATAAAAATCACAGGATATATGATGCTATTAGAGAAGAAAATTTCAGCACTTTCCATAAAGTCTTAAAATATGGTTGACTTCATACACCTGTCTATATAGCTTTCTTGCAATAATAAGGAAGTGGGTTTGCCATTTTTAGAATTTTTATCTCAAAATTATGTTAATAGTAATCTTTGATATAGTAAGTTAGTGTATAGCCTCCCTTTAAGATATATTACTTTTTCATCTTATTTGAAACCAATAAAGGGATTGTTGCTTTCCTCTACAGGATAGCCCTTTATTTTCTTATATAGATGTAAGTACATCTATATAGAATTGAATGAAATAAATTATATAATAAGACACAGGGTTTTAAAACAGTGCTTTATTGAACAAATCATTGTTGTTCAAATATAACAAGCCATAAATAATAGAAACCATAGGAAATAGATCCATAGCTGAAGTAATATTCAGTCTAAATTCAGACACACAAAATTTAAATGCATGTACAAAAAATGTTTACAGTGTTAAAGGTGAAATACAATACAAAAATGAGACAGTGTAATCCCGTGCTATTGAAATGTTCTAGCCCATAGCTATGAAACCATTTTTAATAGGCTTTGAGGCTTATTTCTATACTTTAAATGTTCCAGCCAAATCCTGAACATAGGTCATCTTATAAAGTATATGATAAAATGTTGGTGTCATTTTTGCGGAAAGCTCCAATACACACACTTTCTTTGTGACAAGCTTCTGATACTGAAATACTACCCTATAACTTCAATATGTCTTTATATTAGAGTGGTGATTTAAAATACTGATAGGGTGGAATATATACTATTTTGCCATAATAAAATTTATTTATTGAATAAGTAATTCTTCAGAAATAAGTTGACAATTTAGAAAATCCACACAATTAAATCATATGAACTGCTTAAATCAGCAGTACCAGGCAACAGATCTTAATATAATTTGATGTTTGGTATTTCTCTTTACTAGTGCCTAGTATTTTAGAATTGAAACATATATAATTATTTTATGATTTTTAAGTTCTGACTGCATGCTGGTAGAATTTTGGCGTACATAAAAAATGATCCCTACTTCTTATTTAATATTGACATGTGTATAATTATATAAAATATGCATGTGTGATGTGTCATTGGATTGTTACAGTCTTAAAATATTTTGTGTCCTGAGGCTTACAATTTGTATATACACAATAGTGTGCATATACACATAAATATACATGCAAGCATGCACACTGTAAGTGTATATATGTATATATTATGTTCGTGAAGTTAAATATTGCATGGAACACTTCTAGACAGATTAATTGCTTGTAATTTTATAAGTAACTCTCCACAGATTGGAAAAATAGCCCTTCCAAAATACAAGTTGCTTTTGCTCTTTCTCATATTCCATCCTCAAACTGAAGACATACTTTCCATATTGTTAAGGTGGGGGTGTGGGAAAACAATATTGCAATATTTGGCATCTTGTTTTAATGCTGATTTTACTTTTGTTTTCCTTAAAGAAAAATGTGTCATGACCAAATGAAATGACATTGTTATGAACATGGATTTTAGGCGGTATTGGGAAAAAAATCCAGTATTTAAATGTTTAAATATGCTTATTCATACTTTTATTTTTGGAATTGTAAAAAAATACTATTTTCTTGGGTATCAAAATACTCTGGAGTTTAAAGCCAAGAAAATTCTGAATATGATAAATACTGAAATAAGTTTGCTTTGCTTATATGTTCAGACTCTTGTTTGATTTATTGATTCTGCTAATAGTGTCAAAATAGTGAAGGCTTTGGGTTTTATTAATCTGGGTTGGTTTTTTTTTGAGGGGTGGGAGGAGAATGAGATGTTACTATTGTCTTGCATTAAGCATCTTTCTCCTTTTGTCAGATGTAGGGGGAGAAATGCAAAACTTGTTTCAGTTTAACTGTTTTAACCATGCAACAATGATCAGTATAGCATCCCATAACTAATGCCGACCCCTCCCACTTTCCCAAGCAACATTCACTGTGCATTTAAAAGGTTTTTGTGGTTTAAATGTTGTTACATATTTTACAGCATTAGGATCTATGGAATATTTTGACAACTGCAACAGTTCAATGAAGTTGGTAATTTCTTCTTTTAATTATTTTTCATTGAACAGATTTGGAGTTACACTTTTTTTTTTAAAGAAAAGTTTGTTTTTCTAATGCTTTTCAACACATTGCATAATCTTTTAGCATATTAAATAGCCTTTGACTCTATGGGTAGCAGCATTTTAATTTGATTGATGTTGACACAATAGTATGGTATTCTTTCAGCTGGTGATCATACGTGAATGACTGTACATCACTAGATGAGCTGGTGCTTGTGGCTTCACGGATTGTCTGCAAGGTCCTAATCCACAGTAGAATGGGAAATGAGGCTGGCTTTATACATTTCATTGAGTAGAATGCTGGTACATACAGGCTTCAAGGTTTTTTCCCCCTTAAACTAACATTGTAAAAGTAATGTTTCATGGCTCGTTTAACTGAGGCCTTTAAATTTGAATTTGTTTGCTTTAAAAAATGGTAATTCCAGTCAATACTTGTTTAAATGTCTAGCAGCTTAAACATTAGGGATACAGATAAAACTGCCAGAATATTCTTATAATAATCAATGAAGTTTGTTGCTGTATCCCCGTAATCTCATTTAAAAAAAACCCCACATCTGCCTTGTTCAGTCTCATCTCTATAGAACCTTTGAGCTATGATTTCATATTACTTATTTTTGAAATTTTGGATTTGGAAACGTAAATGTTTCTGAAATTAAATACCAAATGTAGAAAAAAATTGCACATGCTCTTTAGGGTATATTTTTACTTGAAGGAGTATCCTCTTCAGTATCCAGATGCAAATGTAACAAGATTTTGATCCTCTGACCTCAGTATAGGCATTTAAGCCCTTTCCTATTTTGTATTAAAAGAGTTGTTTCCTTCCAGCATATATTTTATGCAAACTCTTTGTTTCAGCCAAGGTTCATTAATACACAAGCATGCTTATGTGCACACAATTTTAAACTTTACACATTTACTATAGCAATAATCAGTTTGTAGTGTTTTCTAAACCCAATCCCTTGAATTTAAGAGCAGCATTATGTTTAGCGGTCCATCAGTCTCTTTCTGGTACCAAACTGGGAGTCAATAAATATTCATAACTTTGTGATATTCTTTCTACCCTTACGGGTTCAGTTTAGCTAACTATAAAAACCCAGCATTTTTGTTATCCCAGTTTGTTAACACTGATGGCTGAAATATAAAGATACTAATGGGAAGTTTTTTAAAATGTGAGAAGCATACACATGCAGAAGCTCAGCACATTTAGACATAACCAATCTTTATTTTAATGCAGTTGTCTTTTTATTAGTTCTACCTAGCATTTAAAATTGTTCTACCTGGCATTTAAAAGCTACCTCCACAAAACAGTATTAACAGTATTAATTATAAATAGCTTGTAATTCAGCAAAAAAATTAAAAAATCATGGAAAATTAATGAATTCACTGACTACATTTCAAATAAAACTAGGTTCAGCTCTATTGTTTTATATTGGTAACATTTTTAACAGGCAATGTTAAAGTATTGTAATGCTTTGTATAACAATTGAGTAATCTAACTCTAGGTATATAGACTAACAAATAAAACTCTAGTCTAGTAATACATAATAGCATTTAAGTAGCAATAGAACAAATTAATCTATAATTAAAGTTCCCTTGTATTAATAAATTTTGTAACTGTGTCTTCTTTCCTTTCAGCAAGGAGCAAATAATGCGGAGAAGTTTGACTATGTAAGCAAACTTTTTAATTGTTACCATTTATTTTCTGTAATTTTAAATGTTACAAAATAGAGTGTTGCTATGTCCCATATTTTCACTTCATATCTGAAGTTTATTAACTGAACTCAAAATCACTTGAATTGGAATTGGACTCTATTACTAATTGTAAGGAACAATTTAATTATCTATTTTATATTTAAAACATATTATATTAAATATACTTTATATTTATAAACTATAATGTAGCAACACTGGAGGCAAGCCTTACTCATTTTTACAAGTGTTTTCTCTTCTGTACAATTTAGAAGCATTTGCTTTCCAGTTTTAAATAATGTCATTGAATTTGAACTAGACTAAAATTTATGTAGCATTTTAAGTGAAGTTAAGATAAAAATATTAATTTCTAATTTAAACTAACTATAATTTTATTTTAGACATAGCAGTAAATAGTAATTTATATTAAAGCAAAAACTGTCTTCATTCTTTCTCATGGAATAGATTTGTTCTTACAGAATGACAGCATTGCTTGATATCTAAACCTAACTTGGTTATTTGCACTGAATACTTACTATGAAGTGCTTTTTGGTACATTCTGAAAAAATAATCATGCTTTCCTTAGGTGATGCAATTCATGAATAAAATGGCTGGAAATGAATATGTCGGTTTCAGTAATGCCACGTAAGTATGTTTCCTAGATTAATTTCAACACTATGAGCAATAGTTAATATTAATGCTGCACATATTTTATTTTATTAATCAAGTCTTTGCTTCAGCTAAGACTTTGGGTCTAGGAGAAATGTCTTCCTTTATGCTGGATTTCTGTAGAAGTACTGTACCTTATGGCACTGTCTCTTCCAAAAAACAAGGGAAAAGGGAAGAAAAAAGGAAGTTTATTGTGATTTGGCAGCTTATGACAGACTGTTTCTGTGTCGTTTGCAGGCATGATGTTATTTTGTCTGGTTCAAGTAACTGACTATTGGGTTTGTTGTTCAAAATCGTATTGGTTTCGGACAGAAAAGATATCTTGAATGATGTTTCAAATGCAGTATGGCAGGGGTCCCCAATCCCTAGTCCGGGACCCAATACCAGGTCAGAGCTGGGCCATGGAAGTGGTGGGCGAGTGCATGTGCACACACAACTGCATTTGTGAAAGCAGCGTGTGCACACAAAACCACACACACTCCTGCCACCTCCGTGTCCACCAGACCGCTGAGCCGGAAAGGTTGAGGACCGCTGCAATATGGGATTAAAAAACTAAAACATTATCGCAGTTAACCTTAAGTAGTTAGCTTCTATGGTAATCTCTGCTCTGTCCTCTGCCAAATAAAGCCGTTTCTAATGTTGAAATTGTCTGACAATTACAATTTGCTGCTATCTTGTATAGCCATCACCTGCAATGTATATAGTTTAGAAACAATGAAATTTGTATTATACATCTTGGAAACTTTGAGTCAGGAATGTGGAAGTAGTTTTGACATTGTGTTCTTGATTTGCATTAGTAAAGATCTAGAGCAGGGGTGTCAAACTGCCGGCCCACAGGCCAGATGTGTCACATGGAAGCCACACCCACCCCAGCTTCAGCAAGGAGAAAAAAGTTGCGATACGTTGTGACACATCACAGGACGTGGTGAGTTTGACACCTCTGATCTAGAGTAACAATGGAGTTACCTTTCTGACTTATATTGCATTCCTATATTTCATTTAACATCTAAATAAGTTCTATTGCATTCTCAAGTAGTTATGACAGATATATGATCAATATTTTAATTCCATTTCTGAGATGTAATCTTATTTACAAAAAATGTTTAGTTTAATTCTTTGTAGTGAATAGACATGTCCTTTGCATTGAGCCTTATAATATGCTGCAGCATTAATTTGTTCTTTTTAATGTAAACTCCACACAATGATAGTCCATGTCTTCCCAAACTAAATAGGTTACTAGAGTTACAACAATCTATATAAATAAAAATGTAAATGTTCGTTTGTTCAAAATCTTAAATCTCTGAAAGTTCTTCACCGATTGCTTTGAAATTTTGACACAATGTTGCATTCGAATACGTGCGTGTTTTTATATACCTACTATTACATAGATGTCACACCTGTGACAGGTAAAAACATGCTTTTTTAAAAAAAACAGCGCCATCTGTTGGATGTAAAAGCAACACACACTACAGCAACATTAACCAGACTGAGCCACAGCAACGCGTGGCCGGGTACAGCTAGTTTTAAATAACAAAGATCCACCAATACTATTGCTAATAAGTATTTAGTGTTTCATATCCATTTCTGCCCCTTTTCTGCCTTAGATTCCAGTCTGAAAGGGAGAGTGGAGACAGAAACTTTGCAATAGGCTATTATCTCAAAGAGAAAAAGGTATGCATTTGGTTATATTTACTCCACTTCCTTAAATGTATGTAATGTCAATTGAACAAACTACAAATAACATTTAAAGGTAAATACAGTATTAATATAAATGTAGTTATTCTTCCATTTTGGTCTCTGTGATTTACACAAATGGCTGGATGCATCTGTACAAAGCCGCATGTGGAACAGAACCATTTGACGTGTATACCACTTCTTGTATATCATGTTACTTAGCATGCCTTGTACTGAACCCTTCAGTTTGTTTTCAACCAATATGCTTCCCAATCTTTCTGGATCTGCATAGAATTGCTTTTGCACTTGGTTGCAGGTTCTTTATATTATTCGGCATTATAATCTTTAGCACCCTCTTTCTAAAAGCCAGTGCTGATGGAGCAAGCTTTTCCTTTCAGATGGACATAAATTGTGTTCTTTTGCTGCAGCAAATATCTCTTGTTTTGGATATTCCTTCAAGAGAGATCTTGCATCCAAAGTGTAGCCTGACTCACTACTCTACCTCTGAAGTGTCAGCATTCTCTGGCAAGTCTATCCAACTTTCCCGGTTGTGATGCCTATGAGGAGAAGGGCAGGAATCATAATCTGAGTCAGATGCAAACCTAAGTATACTATTAAATAAATGACCTCTTTAAAAAAAAACCTCACAATTACAAGCAAGCAACTTACCATATATCTACAAAGAGAAATCTGTGGGTGATGTTTTTTAATATGCATGCATGAAACAAAAGATGGATATTCCCATTAGCTTCAGAGAGATAATTACTGAAATCCTTGTAACACTACCCATTATATTAATAGTAGTTAATGTAATATTACTTTAAATTTAACACAATGGTATTATGCTCTCATTAGATATTTTAGTCCCATTTGAGAAGTAGTGTGTGTGTGTGGGGGAAAGATCATCTTATTCATCTTACTAACTTCTCCGTCTGGTTTTAATGACAGAAGAAATAGGAATGGAAAAGGTGGAAAAGAAATGTATCTTCATATTATAATCACTCCCACTTCTGTGGCCAAAAGCATGTAATAATCTTTTGCTAAACTACCTGTCAGAAGAACACATTATTTGATAGTTTTGTAATAGAGCTAAAATATTTTCCTTCAAATTTTCACAGAAAGGTAGACTTAAATGTCTGGAAGTCCTATTTCTAAATAATTATTATTTTAAGTCTTATTTTAATTCTGAATAATTCTTTGTTTCTTAGATAATCCTCAACTTGAATTTTCAGAACTAAGATTTTCTTCTCTTTTTTATCAGTTTTAGTTTATATATAATAATTTTTACTACAGTATCATAATGTACTAAAATATTCTATTATTTTCAAGTGTTTTCCAGAGGGCACAGATATGGTTGGCATATTGGACTTCTATTTCCAGGTAGCTAATTAATCTCTAGAATATTTGTTATTCTTTGTTATATAAAATTACAGGTTAAAATTTTATTTATATAAATATTTTCATAGCAGAGGATCTAATCCTTTGTTGGGGCAAGTATGTTAACTAAATGATATTCCAATTGAATATATTTTAATAAATCAGCATTTCTCATTGTCTAATCTTAATGCAAATTAATAGTTGATTGCAATCCTTGACCTTAGAATTATATATTTTTGTAGTGATAATGAAATATGTTTTGCAGCCAGTTTTGTAGTACTGTATGGAGAAGAAATAGTTAATCATATCCTTAGTGCTTTCATACTGGTTAGGTTAACTGAAACATACTTTCTTATCACTAATCTTTTTACTGATTAAAATATGAGGTTTTTTTTCCCACTCCTTAGATTTAACATAAGACAGCTTTGAATTTTACACACTAGTAAATAATATAAATTGTCCCGGTTCTGTCACATGATTGTTCGGTACGTTCATCTCTGCAGTAAGAGGATCATGTAGTTTTTAAATGTTTCTTTTAAAAATGTCAGTCTTTCATCCGAACAAGCTTCACTATTGCACTGATTAGACAACAGGTTTTTTAAAAAATCTCACCCAGTTGTTTTATGAGTTAATCTTGTACCATGATAATCACTTTCATTAAAAAACACTGCTACCATCAGATGCTCATTTCATGCTTACTCAAATAGGCCTTTATTTCCTAATCTGGAAATAGTCTATCTTCATATGCTGTATTGTTCATAGGGTAATAGACTCTTTATGGGTTCAGGCTGCTTTTTGTAAGATAGTCCTTTCATCCATTTACTTACGTAGCCTTCTGTTTGCATAGGTTGATCAATGTTTTCTTCTTTTTGTCTTTGTTTTCCCTAAGCTGTGCTCCATAGAAGTGACCTGTGAATCTGCTAGTGTCATGGCAGCCACTCTTGCCAATGGTGGGTTTTGCCCCATCACTGGTGAGAGAGTCCTGAGTCCTGAAGCAGTTCGGAATACGCTAAGTTTGATGCATTCGTGTGGCATGTATGACTTCTCGGGACAGTTTGCCTTCCATGTAAGTGTTTGTTTAGAGGGATCTATTATAAAAAATGTTTAGTTATTCTTTTAAAAAAAGAATTAACTTTTTAATTAGCAAATTTACCATGGGTGGTAAAAAGCATTCCATGTCATATAGACTAGTTAGAATATATAGAACTAGTTAGGAGGACAGAAATGAATCCAGAGGTATCAACCAAATAATCCCTGGGGTGTAAATTTACACTAATCGATACATTTTGGAAAAGTATTGTTACTTTGACAGATGATATGGATATTCAGTGAATGCTATCTAAGTATTGATAAGTATATATTAACAGTTTAAATTATGCATTCATTTAGGTGGGTCTTCCTGCAAAATCTGGAGTTGCTGGTGGCATTCTCTTGGTTGTTCCTAACGTTATGGGCATGATGTGCTGGTCACCTCCGCTAGACAAGATGGGCAACAGCGTTAAGGGCATACACTTTTGTCACGTAAGCAAGTCTTCTTAGTTGAATTGTTAGTAGTCTGTAGCAGAAGTACAATAATCATTAACGTTTACACCTGTCTCAGTGAAAGTGGGGAAATTTGCATTTATCTTGAGCAGAAATGCTTATGTTTTCACTGTTAGAATCAAAGCAGATAAAGATTGAAGATTTTTAAAGCAAAAGGATGGATAATTAGTACCCCAACAAGCTGCACACTAAGCAAAGATAAAAAGAAGATGTATTTTGAAAGTGGAAGAAATGTTGACAAAATGCATGTATTTCTTTTCAGTCCTGCTTTCCAAAATAAATTCTTTTCTTTTTGTTCCCCTAAATTTATAAGTCACTTAATATTCATCTTGACAAAGGACTTTACTTATGAGTTGCAATACGTGTAATCAGTAATATCAGAGTGTAGCTGAATGAAACATAGTCAGTTGAAAATTATGGTAGTATACATGAGTATAAATATAACACAATTATGTTTTCACTATTGCAGGAACTGGTTTCTTTGTGCAACTTTCATAATTATGATAACCTGAGGCATTTTGCAAAGAAGCTTGATCCTCGGAGGGAAGGTGGTGATCAACGAGTAAGTTGGAAGTATTTTATAAAATTAATGTGTAACTTGTATATTGTGCATAGCAACCTCCAAATAGGATTGGTCAATGACATGTATTACATCAATACTCTGAGTTGTGAGTGTCCAGATACAATTCAGACAACATCTGTCAAATCTAGAATTTACTATTAAATGCTATATTACATTAATCACTGGCTTTTACTGGTTACAGGTAGTCCTCAACTTACTAACCATAATTGAGCCAGAATTATAGTCGTAAGTCATACCAGTCGTTAAGTGGGTTACCGTGTGACTGCACCCAGTTTTACAACCTGTCTTTGTGGCAGTTGTTAAGTAAAAGCCAAAATCATTAAGCAGATGCTATGGCTGTTCAGTGAATCCATTGTACCCAATGGGCATTTTTTTGCTGGAAACTGGAAGTAAATGTTGGTTTCTGACAAAAACAAAAATTGTGGTCATGTGACTGCAGAACATTACAAAGGGCCGTGAATGTGGGCCAGTTGCCAAATGCCCAAAATGCAGTCATGTATTCTTGGGGGAAGCAGTCATTGCAACTTTGAAACATAGTCGTAAGTAGGGTTTGAGGAGATCTGCTATAGCTTCAAATCTTAGTTAAGGGCTACCTAGTAATAATGTGACATTTGACTGAAAGTTAGTTGAGTTTGGTTAGATAATTGGTATTATATATCATACCTGAGCCTAGTATATTTAGACTACTTCAAACAAATTTGAGAACTGTTCATGTATCCTTTCCAGATGGACTTAAAACCATCCTAGATAAAATGCCATGATGCAAAGCTAGCATATTCAGCGGTATATTTTCACTTCCTAAAAATTACGGGACAAAGTTCTTTTTGTTACAGATTTTGATCTTACAAGAAAAATAAATTGTATATAATACAGATGACTTTTATTTTGGTAACACGTTTGATCCACATATTAAGTGAGGAAATATCTCCAGTACTGTTCTTGGCTCTCAGAGTTAGCAGTGGGTAATCTCTTGCTTGTTGCTGAGAGACATAATAGAAAAAAAAGGGATGTGTCCTAGCCAACATTTTTTTAAAATTGTACTGCCTGTGATACAGAGCTTTGTATTAATTTTCAAACATGTCAGTCATCTTACTGTTCTGACCATGGCTCTGATCTTACTGGGAAGAAATCTGTTTTTGAATGGCATTAATACCATTCAAAATACAACAATAGTCATTACTTTTGAGTTTGGAATTCCATTTGCACTGTAGCATGTGTAAGTTCACAGACAATTTTTATGTTTTGGCCCTTGGTTTGAGGTTGGGCTGAGAAAAAGATTGGATCTTATAATTTTGGCCCTGTACAATTAAAATGTTTCAGTCCATTACTCATTTTTCTAACACTTACAGCAAAGCTTGGACCTAAGTAATTATTGCCATAGCAGTTTGCCTAAGATAGAAAGAAGGCTGGATTGCCAGAGTTGAACTAAACCAGAAGAAGCTGGATTGTAGAAATGCTGCTAGTAACTCAGTAACTAACCTCAGGAATTCTAGATTAATATGAAAGTTCCTGTATGGCTAATTAACACAGTCGGCATCCTGTTACGAATGACTTGGAGTCTTTCTTCCCTTCCACCAAATTAAATAAATTATTCAGTGTGGTTTGAAATTGAAAAGTATGTGGCATGATAATGTCAGGTTGAGAGAGATCTCTGAGAACCAGCAAGTGCTAATTGATAAATAAAAATAATGCTAGAATGTTTTATTTCATTGGTAATTTAATACATACTATATGTTGCTTAAACAATTAGCATTCCCTTGGACCACTGGACTATGAGAGTCTTCAGCACGAACTTGCATTAAAAGAGACTGTGTGGAAAAAAGTGTCACCTGAATCAAACGAGGACATCTCCACAACTGTAGTGTATAGAATGGAAGGTCGGGGAGAACAAAACTAGTGCATTGGGCTCTGGTTTCAGAGAGTTTGGTTTCATTTTTAAACACGCTCCAATTTGTCTAGATTACACAGTTCCAAATATTTTAGGTTTATTATTTTGATTTCAGTGGGTTGTAAATATGCTTGAGGTAGCCAAAATTGGTCTACCAATAATTTTATACTAATTGCTTTAATACTTTTTTTTCAGAAAGCAATCTGAAACAAAACTTGTCTATGTGCTATTTAAACTTGTATCATGCTTAAGGAGTGAATTGCAAAATAGGAATTTTAAAGGGGTGCTGTAAAAGTGAGAAATATTACAATACAATCCAGATGCAAACAGCATAATTGTTAACCAAGAACACGAGAGCCAAAGATATAGGAAAATTTAAGTTCTGGATCATAAGTAGATATTTCTTTTATTGTTAATATATTCTAAAAATTACCCTTTGCTTTTTTCATAAATAGTGTAAAAACCTGATCCCATTTATTCCAATTAATTTGCAGTTAATTTCAGTGTAACCAAATGTTCATGTACTGTTTCGCAACCCTGACAAAACAATTCACAATTTTTATATAGAGCATATTGGTAGACAGAAACCTATTTAAGCTTGTGTAAAAATGTCAGTATGTTACTATATAAGGTAAAAAAGTCATGTTGGATTAGCCTGGCTGAGGAATTCTGAAAGTTGAAGTCCACAAGTCATAAAAGGGCAAAGTTTGAAGGCCCCTGGGTAAGGATATGCTCAGGATCCACTGCAAAAAAACCTCAATTTATTTATGTTAAATTTATATGCCACCCATCTCTCCATGAGACAATTTTAATACAGT